AGGAAGAACTGCTTCACGGTAAGGGTGGCCAGAGCCTGGAATAGGCTTCCCAGAGAGGTGGTGCTCTCACCTTCCCTAGAAATCTTCAAGAGGAGACTGGCTAGGCACCTGGCTGGGGTCTTATGACCCCTGCCACCCCCAGTGCTCCTTCCTGCCCATGGCAGGGGGTGGGACTCGATGATCTGTCTAGGTCCCTTCCCACTCAGTGATTCTATGATTCTATGATCTCTCTAATGAAAATTCCAGTCACTGGGGTATATATATAACTGTGGTGACCAAACCACAGCCCATGAGCCACACACAGCTTGCTGGCACAGTACCTGCGGCTCTCTGGGGCTTCTCCACCAAAGACCTGCACAGTTCTCCCCAAGGTGGCTCTGGGGGACATCGGGCTACTGTGGGCAGGGGCTGCAGCCACGCCGCTTACCCCAGGGTATGTATCCTGCAGGGAAAGCCAAAGTGGCTCAGTGGTGCAGGGGAGAGGGGTGGTCACCTCCACCCCAGGTTGCTCAGCACATCCTTCCCCACCCTGCTCTCTGGCTTTGGTGGAGGATTGGATGTGGCTTCCAGGGCAAGTAACTCTGGCCACCCCAATATATAAAGTTTTAAATATATATATCATCATAGGTGGCAGAAGGCTAGGACTAACAGGGCTTAGCACCTCCCCCGCCACAACTAATTTTGCGGCGGTTGGTAACATCAGCAGCACCACAGTGGCACCATCCTGCAGCACCCAGAGCTTCACGCTTCTCTGCCACCGTGTACAGCACCAGCAGGCACCAGCCCCACAATGGCCCTGAGGGAGGGAGGGGCAGGGTCACCCCCCAAATAATATTTTCTCCCACTGCCTATGTACCTCATTAATGAAACATATAGATCTCAATGAAAATCCCAGCCACTGTAGACAGAACAAAGATTGGCCCCTGACAGTTTGCCATCTCTGACAGTACCATGATGTGTATTTTATTTTTCCTTCCTTATCCAGGAGAAAAAAAAGAAATATGCAGGCCCCGATTCTTTTCTTATGGTAGTGTAAATTGGGAGTCACCGCACAGAGGAGACAATAGGATTGTAAGTGCAAGAAGAAGCAAGGCCCATAGTACCTCACTACTAGTGACAGGGCTAGAAAAGTCTTTGTGAGCCACCTGGTGCAGGTAAGTGGCCAGGCTGCCTATACACCTACTGTATGCAGAGAATTAGGTGTGGAAGAGGAGGTCTGCAGAGGAGTGTGCAACTACCTTTGTTTTTGCTTTGACCTTAAACTGAAAGTTACAGTGCTAGCCCCGTACTTAGAGAGGTGGTAGAATCCCCGTCCTTGGAGGTTTTTAAGGCCTGGCTTGACAAAGCCCTGGCTGGGATGATCTAGTTGGGGATGGTCCTGCTTTGAGCAGGGGGTTGGCCCAGATCAGTGGTTTTCAACCTTTTGCGTACCAGGACCCATTTGTAAACATCGATGGCCAGTCCCACCCCAGAGCCCCTCACTCCTGACCCACTGCCCCCCAACCCCAGTCCCCAGTGTGGGGCAAGGGGGGCAGGCAGGGAGGGCCCCAAGCAGCCCCTTGCAGGCTGCAACCCTGCCAGCTGCAAGGAAAAAGCCACTGTTTGCCACCTTTTTCTCCTTCAAAGGAGAACCCATTTTGTTGATCCATTTTTAGCTTGTTGCCACCCTTTCACATATTCCTGCAACCCATGGGTTGAGAAACACTGGCCTAGATGCCCTCCTGAAGTCCCTTCCAACCCAATCCTCATTTTCTATGAATCAGCCTTCCCAGTAAACAAGGGCATTTGTCCCCGAAAGCTTGCAAAGAACAATTTTTTTCAACTATTCAGATGGTGTAATAAAATAAACCACATTTTCCCCAAGGGAGGCAAGGTGCTTTGGGTCGATGCAATCTCTTTTATTATACCCGAGTAGTTGGAAGAAAGTGCTTTGCAAGCTTTTGGGCACAAGTGCCCTTCCTCAGGCATAAAGTGCTAAAACAAAGTTTATTTCCTACCTAGGGGAACATTTGACCCTCTTCAATTTTTCCAGAGCCTGAGGAAGGGCGTTTGAGACTGCAAGTTTGCAGAAAAAGGTTTTTTTTTGTTTTGTTTTTTGGTTGCTCTAATAGAAGGCATCATCTCTGAACCAAAAGGTCTAGGGTTTGGCATTTCCTTTAGTCTCAGGCAGGCAGGGATACCAAATACGCCCCTTCTTCAGGCATACGGAGACTCCCATTTACGCAAAGAACCTTGTTTGGGGGGTTTTCTTGGTTTTTGTTTTGCAAATGTATGCAAAACAAAAAAAACAAAACAAGGTTCTTTTATTTTTTATATATATATATATATATATATA